AGAAATATGGAAGATATTATTACCTCCGGTCAAATCAGAAGAGAATAATAAATAGTTCCGGCTGCCCATACCATATGTTTGGCATGCGGCATGCTCTTGTCAAATGTAAAATGATGCTACAGAACTGGACTTCATCGACTCTTAGTTTAAAGATAGGGAGTGAAGTAATCAGTGGAGCGTGTTAACCATTTCACTTATTTGAGAAATTGCATCAGGCTGGTTGCTGACAAAATTTAAGCGAGATTACGAAAGGTTCATGTGGCGTTTGCCGAAATACATTATTTTTGGTTCAGGCGTGATATCTGGCTGGCTGTAGATCGAAGGACATGTCGACTACTTAGCAGTCCACCCCGTCCTCCTATGTGCCTGGCTTTGGGACATGGTCATTGAAAGTTGGAGACATGATAAGGCTAGCTGTCTTTGACCAAAGGTATCTGCGTACTTCTTCCCGTGTTGGGTGGCGTAATTTGGTGAGTAATATTGATTTTAGGCGTTGAGTGTCAGGTTAGGAGGGAAAATCAATCGATGAGGTTACATCGATTGAGATGGTTAGGATGAGTGTTACGCATACCTATCCTAGCCATCGCCTTCCTCGATGAACAATGTCAGCTTACTGATATAGAATGAATAAGTTTGCAGAAGAGGTAGTACATGGTGGTCAGATCAAAACTTGCCTTCATCAGTCAATGAAATCATTACAGTTTGTTTAAGCCGGCCACGTAAGGGGGGTGCAGACTTCCTGACTGGCTAGTTGGGATCCTCCGGAAGGCAAAGACTGATGGCTGGAGACAGTTGTTGGTGATATGGCTTGAAATGGTTCTCAGCGATGTCTGGAGGAGATGTATCCACTATTTTTAATTTTTCACATCCAATAAACCTCTTTTCTTCTTCCTTGTCACTTTTCTTTCCTCCCTCACGTTTCTGCTTATTATCATTCTTCCGAATACCTTTTTTCTCTTTTGTCTTCCTTTGTATGCTGCATGCAGAGTGGCAACTTGAATTGCTTCGCTTCTGTGCAAAGTTCTCTGTTGAAACTATCCGGGCTGTCAGTCAGGATGAGACTATTTTTGGTTCATAATCATGTGTCATGTTTGAGCAAGAACATGTCCAACTAATTTCTGACCAGTTGTTTGGCTTCTTCAATGTATGTGTGTCTCGACACCACTTTGAACATTAAAGACTAGTTATCCTATCTGCTAATATATATCTTCCTTGCATAGTATTCTACGCCTAAATCTTTCTGTATCCGATAACATTATTAGCACTCACATAGTAACATGACTGCCAATCATGTGGTGACATTTCACATCAATGTGCGGTTGCTTATAGTTATTAATTAAATTGCTTTTCATTACTCTGTTTTTATTCTTTTTTCAAACAATAAGGTGTATATTTCAAGTGTGATGAGTGTGAACTGTCGTTTGTTCGAAAGTGGAATTTAGAAAAACACAAGAGAGAAGTACACGATGGTGAGTTATGTCATAGTATGATTGTGAAGAATATATATATATGTTTATGAAGAGCTGGTGTTGCGTTATTGTGCTCTAAGAAACCAGTTAGTTAAACTTCTTGAACAGATTTAAGCTTGCTTTCAGTTAACTTCCCCTAGAAATAACGCTCACAATTACTGTGTCGCCATCTATCCTGTAGTACCTGAGCTTTAGCCATACTACCTGCTGACTGATTCTCTAGCCTGGTCCACCTAACTTGGTAGTCAGGCTGTTCTTAACACAGTCCCAGCTAGTGAAGGGAGAATATAACTCTCATGGCTACTCAAAATTGTATTTATTAGCGATGACAGGAATAGACTATAGAGATACACAATTACACCACAACGCCACCGCTAACCTCTTGTCCCTTGAAAATGATACTGACCACCATGTGTTTCAGTCTGCACAGAAAAAAATGAGACTCAATTGACTTTACGAGCTTCTTTTATCCCCAACACTGTTACATGTGTTGAATGTTGATGCGGTGAACAAAGATTATTTTCAACTAAACTAATCAACCCTAGACTTACACTTATTTGTTTAATTGTATGCATTGCATACACAACGTGGTGACATAATTTATTTATTATTAGTATTATCAGTATTTTATTCCTTTACTTTCCGAGTGGAACATGGGCCTTGAAGCTAGAACATTGAAGTTTCGGTAGCAGCAGTTTTATTTTTACCGTATGCAGTTGCTAGTTTCATGCCCAACCTTCCCTGTCTACTGGCTTTATTACCGGCTTAACGGGGTTTTAGGAGTGTGTCGTGCGAGGATCGAACCCTAGACCGCGTGGGTGATTGGCGAGCGTTCTGCCGCTGATCCACCAACGCATGGTGACCTAATTAGACATTATTAGTTGAATCTACCAGATACCATTTTATCACTGTGAGGTCGAATAAACTGATTAGTCAGACCAGTAAATCGGGATCACATATAATAGTGATGACGCAATACCACTTATAGATATATGGAAACTTTCCATTAAGACGATTCACCGAAGGTGACTTTTTCAATGAATCTTTTACCGAGCTGTACTATGATATATATACCATTTAAAAGAATAGTTAAACATTAAGGGGTTAAATCGGTTGTGTAATGCGAAAAGTAGTCCATGTAATCTATAAGTCTTAGAAAGGGGTAATAAAATATTTCATAACTGGGTGTGAATTTTGCAAAAATCACTTGAAATTAAATAAATGAAGAGTGACAAGGGAGATAGCATTGGAAAGTGTTCAAAGTGTAAATAATAATAATAATAATTGAAATAATAAAGGGTAGATATGCAGATTGATTAAACAAATCGAAAAATAGATAGGGCCAAAGCTGGAATGAAGATTATAATAGTTTAGCATAGATTAAGACCATGAAATAAAGGAGTAGTTGGACAACTGTCTTCTACATACAAAGTTCTAGTTTCTCTCTTTCGATTATCAGAGCTCCAGCGATACAGAAGAGTAGAATACGCAGGCTATTTTTCGCTTTAGAGATAACTTTAAAGGAAGAGGTGATAGAGATGAAATGACTAGTGTCGATCATATATATTCAACTACTGAGCTTCTTATAGAAGCTGCATTTCCGACTCTTCGTAACCTGGTAAGGTAGTCTGTTGTACTCTATTTGATGAAGTCGACGTCGAACGACCTATGTACTAAGCTCCACAGGAGCAGGTAGGCTGGTAAACACACAGAGAGTTAGCCAACTGCATAGAATCTTGTCCTTTAGGTTATCGTGAGATCTTTCTTTTAAGAATGTTGACAGCTAAGTCACCTTTGAGTAGAACGTTCAAATGTATCATTAATTTCTTGGATGCAAATGTGAAATCACATTGCATGTGTTTTTGCTGCATACTTTTGTCTATAAAACGTGATAGATACCTACTTTCTATCAGAACTTCTCTCAAATGATTCAGCTCTTCCTCCATGGCGTAACAGCTACATATACGAGGAATAAGGGTGACAAGTCATCGAATTTCCTTCTTTTTCAAACAAGGAGTACTTAGCTGTAAATGACACCGAATAACGAGTTGCGATGTGGCAGTCACTAACGAGGTGTTCCATTATATCACTTCTGATAGAACTGATGCCACCTTTTTTACAGCCATCCTGCATATCGTTCTCTAACTCCTTTTGAAAGAACACATAGATGAACCTATATACCTAGCTGCAGAAGAGAATTTGAACTGATATACCCACAACAATTTGGTCATACATGGGATTTTGTCTGGCGAATTAATTAAAAGCAAAGAACGACTAGAATACTTCACCCTCAGAGTTGTTACAAAGAAGGCTTTCTTTAAAAAGTTAAATATTTTCCTTTTAAGACATGTGGTGCTTACTCCCTCTTCTCTGGAAGTCAGGGTTCTTCTTATTTGGTATGCAGGTGAAATGATGAGAACTTACTTTATTGACTCATAGATGTCTAAGTGTAAAAATTAGTAATGTTGACTATTCATTCATAATCTGAGTTTGACAAGCGGAGACATACAACTACATTCAGAGATAGCTTCAACACTAGATAACAGCCAACAGTTGAGATAATATCATTTTGGATCTGAAGATTAAAGATGAAGTTGTCAGTTGACTCCTAATTCACACCTTATTTTATTTCACTTTTACACCTGAATAGGTCAAGTTATTATTTCTTTGGGCGTGTTCACACTGTTACTATCATTCTTCGTATATGTCGAATATTTCTACAATCCTGAATGCGATATAACAATTTCATTGCAAAAATCTTTTATAGTCAAGACATGCAAAAATACATCACAGCCAGATGTTAGTCGATGTAGTAACCTATACTTCAGGATAGAAGGCGAAATATTATGAGTCAGCCTTTCTCACGTGATCGATATGCCAAATATTCGATCTCACACAACCTAGTCTGAAGGTCAAGCCATTGAATTTCTATTGGCAAACACTATCCCATCAGATGACATATTTTATATCTTTAACCTTGTAATTTTTTTGGTCATGCAGAGTAGTAATTTAGAAAGTTTCATTATTAGACAATATCAAATAGTTGATATTGTTACAGTAGAAGACAAGAGACTAGGTACCGGAATGTTCTCTTGGAATTTGATATTTCTATATACAGGGGAATTACGTACATCTTTTATGAAAATGCACAGATATTCCATGCTCTGGTGCTGCTGCTGTATTGTGTTTTCTTACATTCTTTCAATGTCTTACATTTTCTCTGCAGCACTGGTTCATCATTTCCTCTCCTTGACATAAAATCTGTCTTTCCGCTCTTTGGTTGCTTTTATGCAGTTGGACGTCTCATTATATACTACTAATAAATCTTGTTAGTAGCACTCGCCACAATATGACATTACTTCTAATTCTTAAAAAAATTATCGGTAGAGTTATCAGTTGACATTATACACCTTCTTTGTATTTTTATCATTTGAATTTCTCACTCTATATAGGCAAGAAAAAGTTTCCTTTTCACAATATCCCTTTTTGTTTATTTTGTGTTATTCTCTGTTGTGTTGTTGTTGTATATAGGTGAAAAATTCAATTGTCCCCAGTGCGATAAAACATACTCCACTAAAAATTTCCTTAAGCAACATGTACAGGTGCATCATAAAGGTGAGTGATATGTGTGTGTGTATGTGTGTGTATGTGTTTATTCATGTCAACATTTGTGCTGACCGAACTGTTTTCTTTTTTGTAATGTTGAAATGTATTGCATAATCACTCAGTCAGTTGACTTGGAGATTTGCTTATTGTGTGACTAACTGATTGATTGATTGATTAAACGTGTTAACCAGCTGAATTGTCATCTATAACACATCAGACGTGAAATAAAGAATTGTTAAGCAAGAAGATGATCTGTAAACCAGACATTTAAAGGTGATGTCAATGGATTTATATTGATTATTATTATTCTTTTGGGTGGAACAATGGGCATCAACAAGATATCTCCATTTTGGTCCGATTCTCTTCAGTCTTTAGCTGTCACCATGACTGCCCATAAGCTTTAATCCCCATGTGATCCTTTCACTGATTTCCAGTTCGTCATATCTCATTTGGGTTGCACTGAAGCGATGGCCTGGCATGCGATGTGTTACCCAGTGGTCTCCTAAGCGTGTGTCTTATCCGTCTCCATTTCCTCCTGTATACATATTAAGGAATAGGTTCTCACTTGTTGGTTCGTTCCCAGAGTTTCTTGTTGCTAACTCTTTGTGGCCATCTGATCTGCAGTATGGAGCTAGCGAAAGCCACTGTTGATAAAAGTTTGCGTTAGTCTGTTGGAAGTCCTTGTCGTGATGTGCCAGGCCTCTGACCCATACAGAAGAACTGACTTAAAATTGTTATTGCAAATTCTAATTTTGCTCTTTATGGTGAGTGTAGCAGATTTCCAGAATGATTCCAAAGTGATCAAGGTGTGTCTTGCTTTCCGGTTCTGATTTTGACATTCTCATCCTTACTGGCTGCCTGGTTTTGAAACGATGCTTCCTATTTAAATAAAGGAAGTAATCTCCTTCAAGTTTATTCCTCTGATAGTGATTGTTGGTTGGTTGATTATCTTCATCACATTTTTCTTTTCTATGTTTACTTGAAGTCAACGTCTTCGCTGTTTGCTTCTTCTGTCAACTTGTTGCTTTTGCCTGTAGGTCTTCGAATTTATATGACCTTACAAGTAAATCGTCCGCGAAATCCCGATCTTCTCGAGTCTTATTGGCACAATGTATTTCTGTCTTCTCGCTCCTGACTTACGGTCTTTCGCATAATCCAGTCCATCACAATTATAAATGTGATCGGTGTTAATAGGCAGTGAGCTTTTTCATACTCGTGTATTCACTTCAAACGCTTCTCTGAGTTTTCAGTTGTAGTTCACGTGACATGTGTCAGTTTCATGTAGCTGTTGAAAGAAATTGATAAAGTTTTATGACACTGCATTCGCTCCCACCAAATGCAAGTTTTTGCTAAAGGACTGGACTACACTGAACATAGATGTCTGCGTTCTATCTCGCGATATAAGTGGTATAATAGGATTAACAATTTTGAGGTTAGGCGTCGAGTGCTAGGTAAAGAGGGGAAACCAGTTGACGAGGCTGTGAAGTTAGATCAATTGAGATGGTTGTGTCAGTGGTCACCGTTCAACTAGAAAACATAAATGAAGTGATGCAAGTATAAAACTTGGGCACTGTGGTAGAGTATAACTCCATAATGTTTAAGATTTTATTTTGATAAATCACACAGTGTAGTACAGTTATATTAACTGATGACGTTTCGAGCACAAACTATTGCCACTCATAATCATATCAAGTTACTCACACAACTTCTTTCCTTCATTGATATGCATGTGTGGAATCGATTACATATTGGAATAAAATTCAATATGAGATAATGTACATTCAGAAATAATAATATCAGTGTGTGTTATTGATCAATTACAATCAGATGGGAAATTAGATGAGTGTTTTTATAGTCATAATAAGTTAATTGTTAGAATGTTATGATGTGCTTGAATGGATATAGAATTTTTCAGAATACTTATTATCCTCTTCTGATTTGACCGGCGGTAATAATATCTTCCATATTTCTGGTATTTGCATTGAGTCACTTCTGTTGCATGTGTTGGGTGTAGACTCGATGAACAAGGATTCCGTAATCAACCTCTCTTTCCACCTACCTATATTACGTTTTAGAGTTTTAACCCTATCCCACCCTATTGTGTGGTTGTTTGTTATTGCGTGGAGTGCAATAGCTGAGCTTTTTTCTAAATTACTTATCTTTTCATTGATATAAGTATAAAACTTGGGCACTGTGGTAGAGTATAATTCCATAATGGATAAGATTTTATTTTGATAAATCACACAGTGTAGTACAGTTATATTAACTGATGACGTTTCGAGCACAAACTATTGCCACTCATAATCATATCAAGTTACTCACACAACTTCTTTCCTTCATTTATATACATGTGTGGGTCAATCATTTCCCCTTTAGCTAAATTCTTATGTTCTGACAATCTGACTATCCCTGACCTACTAGTTTGACCTATGTAGTTGACTTCACAGTCATTGCAAGGTATTTTGTAAATTATATTATTTTGTTTAATTGGATCCAACGGGTCCTTTAACCTACAAAGTTTGTCTCTGAGTGAGTTTGTTGGTTTGAATGCCACCCTAATTCCTGCTTTATTGAGAATCCTACGTAGGGCCTCAGATGTCCCCTCCTTATATGGTATAACAGTAGAAGTCTTATATTCTCTCTTATTTATGTTATTACTACTAGTTACACAATTATTTTTATTTTGTTTTTGGCCCTTACTGATCTTCTTAATGAATTTTATAGGATAGTTATTCAACACCAACACTTCTTCTATCTGTTTTATTTCGTCATTTAGGTCCTTTTTTGTGCTACTTAGTGCTATGGCTCGGTTTGTCAGACACTTAACCAAGCCTGCCTTAACAGTTAACGGATGAGACGAATTAAAGTCTAAATATCTATTAGAATGCGTAGGTTTTCTATAAACATTAGTGTGTAGTTTGCCTTCTTCTATTCTTTTCATCTTACAATCTAACATGGTTAATTCTCCTTGTTCATTTTCTGATTCAAATGTGAATTTTATTCCTTCTACTTGTGAGTTTATATGTGTTAAGAAGCTAGAGATATGTTCTGTTTTTAACACTGTGAATGTGTCATCTACATATCTCCACCATATTTTTGGCCTAGGATTAAATGTATTGAGAGCACTATTTTCCCAGCTGTCCATAAAGATGTCTGCTACAATAGGGGATATTGGTGATCCCATTGCTACACCTTCTGTTTGTCTATATATTTTGCCTTGGAACTTGAAGATAGTAGATGTGAGGCATAGCTGAATCCCTAAAATAATTTCTTCAATGGGCAGCTTTGTCCTATGACTAAGTTCGGAATCAGAAGTTAGTTCGTTTTTAACCGCTTCTAAGGCCATATTGACTGGTATATTAGTGTAAAGACTACTTATATCAAAACTGACCATTAACTAATTCATATGAGATGAAAAGTAAACTAAATGACATTCCACTATCAAATGACGAAACAATGGTCAGATCAGAAGAGGATAATAAATAATCTGAAAAATTCTATATCCATTCAAGCACATCATAACATTCTAACAATTAACTTATTATGACTATAAAAACACTCATCTAATTTCCCATCTGATTGTAATTGATCAATAACACACACTGATATTATTATTTCTGAATGTACATTATCTCATATTGAATTTTATTCCAATATCTAATCGATACCACACATGTATATAAATGAAGGAAAGAAGTTGTGTGAGTAACTTGATATGATTATGAGTGGCAATAGTTTGTGCTCGAAACGTCATCAGTTAATATAACTGTACAACACTGTGTGATTTATCAAAATAAAATCTTATCCATTATGGAGATGAATGAAGTGAGTATCTCATGCAGGTTGCCGGTCATCGTGTCACATGTTAATTTTTATAGACTGCCATTTATCTTGTCAATTGTTTATCCTTTCTATCATTTCAAAGACGTCTATTATTATTATTATTGTTATTATTTCATGTTTTTGTCAATTTCTACTCTGATGTGATCTGATCGACCTGCTGATTGACTGACTGACTGACTGTTTATATTTACTTATTTATTTGAAGGTGTATATTTTTCATGCAGCAATTGTGATAAAAAGTATGCTACAAAGTATCGCTTAAATGAACATATGAAAAGTTGTATAACAAAGTGAGTAATATAAACAACTTGGATTAATCCCTTTACTCAATCAAAATGGTTACCTTTTATTTTGATTAATCTTCCTCAAACACTATTGATTTTATTCTGCTTCTTCGTTTTCTATCACCTTATTCTTTGAAAACTATTTGACCTGCAGATGTGTTCATAAGGTGCTGGTAAAATAGATGAATAAAGAAAAGGCAAATAATATGGACAATGTTAACTTGCAATTAAAGATGTGAAGTAGTCGAAAAAATTATAAAGTCATTTGGATAATCATAATGTTTAAAAGGTTTAGGCGGAGGGTGAAGTGGCTGGAAACAATTGGTGATATGGCTCGAAATCGTTCTCAATGGCGCAGATGCACCCACTCCTTATGACTTATGATTTCAAATGAAACTATATCGTTCTTCGTTATTACTATTCCTTCGTCTCACACTTCTGTTTACTGTCTCTATTATACATTTTTTCTACTTTCTTCTCTTGCTTTGTGTGCTACATGGAGTGTGGCGACTTGAACTGCTGCACATCGGTGCAAAGTTCTATGTCGAAAACATACAGACAGACAGAAGTGGCCATGTAACGACGGCTAAGGTATTGAAAGTGACTGTCTACGAATTTCTTCTGAACATATGGGTCTGGCTGGCTTCTTTGGGTGGATTCCGATGGCTTCAGCTGTATGTAGAAGACAAATTCATAAGACAAAATTTAGATTAGTTGGAACGCCGTAAATAACTTTAAATGCTGTACTATATCAACTTTATGCTCAGTTTCTACATAGTGTACTAATACAGAGCTATGAATAAATCTTCTCAACCCCTTGTTTGTAATTATGAGGGATAAGGTTCGGAAATACCGATCATGAACCTGCCTAATTATACGCCCAATGTTATATATACCATCTTTTATTAGATAATACCTCTGGAATGCTGATACTATTGAACTGTTGATACGAAAAGAGTTCTACATCGTAGTGGCTGCAGCATTCACAGCATGCTTCGTTTTCCAGTAATTGCAAAACACATTAAATTTAGATTACTGAACCTAGCAGAATATTTTCCCTTGGAATAATGTGTTCATTAACTTACTATTCTTGACACTGACTCACTTGTGGCAATCACTACGACTGGTAGCATGATCATCAGTACTTCCACCGAGATGAGGCATTCTGTCATCATAATGCCTCCTCAAAGATGAATCCTTGTACCCTAATTCCAATTTATCCCATATAAAAAAACAATACTGGAATACTTCGTCTTAGTCAGGTTTAACACACGAGACCACTGAATCGAGTATTTTCAATTAATGAATAGCTTCATGGCTTGATGGTTACGTCGTAGGTCACTGGTGAGTTCGCACCCGTAGGGTGTCTAAAGTTTAACTTCACCTGTGCTGAAGGCTATTAGTAGTTGTGTTTATTGGCAGCGTAACACAGCTGGGAATATTGACGACAACAACCGGAGGTGTTTCAACGCCATTTGTTTCGTCAGGATTATAACAGCCAAAACTGTCAGTGTTCTCTTTGCTTTATGCCTTCCAACGAATTGGCTAAACAAAGTATAAGAGCGTAAGAAAGGCGTTTACACGTTTAACATCTTGTTGTGGGTGTCATGAGCAGCTGTTTTTTTTCTCGGTAAATGGTAGATCACGGGAATAAATTCCCCCCACATACTCCTTCCATCTGTCCAAAGTCTTCTTGGATGATGTGCATTATCCTTCAGTTAATAGGCTAAATCCCCACTCTCTGCGATATTTTCGTGATTGCTTTGGCTTTACTGTAATTCGTATACTCCGTTTATTTTAGTCGATTTCTTTCCTCTTTGAGCACGTGGTGTTGTTCACTAGGAAATTTTCGGGAAGAACGAAAGTTCCAAGTACGTGGGAAGTGATTAGTGCAAGATCGATTTTGTGTGAAAACGACATCAATTAGCGTATAATTGAAAAGCATGGAGGTTTGCTTTGACAGAAGTTTGAATTCATTGACTGCTGAATTCCAACCCCTAATAATGGTAACTAAATGGGAATGTGTTATTCTCGTCGACTCCTTGAACCTTACTCGACGCCTGATGTGAACTGTGAAGGGTGATTTTGGTGTTGTTATATTTTGTAAAGTGGATACCATGGTGTAATGAAGAAGTCTTCATTGTTCTTGTAGACGACAATTGTCAATTGAAACTGGGACTGAAGATGTTGACTAGTAGGCGACTGAACACTCTGCAACCAAATCATTGAGATCACAGAGATCAACAATGCCAACATGACAGTGTTGATTATTCTAACTTTTCAAGTTTGATCACTGATTGATGTCAGTAAGAGAATCACTGAATACTAGGGAGTACTGGACAGCTGTCTCGTCCGCCTATTTTGAGAATGATAGGCAGTATGTACTCACCTCCAGGATTCGAGATCATAGACCATTCAGCCAGTGGGACCCGACCCAATGGCCCATGAATTCTAGCTTCTACCGATTCGTGATTATAGCGTAACCACCAGCTAGAAGTTTAAATTTCATGGTTTAGCCGTTGATTCGGGTTTGAGTGGTTGAATGGTCTGGGAGCGCGCCTTGCAACCGGAAGATCCTGGCGGTGGGCGCGTACTACGAATGAGTCCCAAACTACGCGAATGGAACAACTGTCCAGTACTCCCTCCTACCTGGTTTTCAATGGTTCTCTAACTGATATGATCAAACTAGAGAAACAGACCACGAAATCCTTGCAAACAACCTCTTGAATATTCTAACTTTGTAACACTGTCTACTGTTTATTTTCATTGCAAAATAAATTAATGTCATGTATGTGTTGCTTATTTTATTATTGTTCTTCTTTCTATTGAAGATAAAGAATGATCTCTTCGAAAAATTAATCAAAGCAGACAGCTGAATGAACAGCAGTCATGTTTATCCTAATACAGATGAAGTGCTTTTACCTGTTAGATGGGATTATTTTTATTTTACTATTATTATTATTGCTGTGTCCCACCGTCCCTCCCAACAGTACCCACCATCGACACCCACTGAAGAAGCAATTTAAAGATATTTACAGGATAAAACTTACTCTCACTATCACTAACTGTGTACATATCCAGATTTCCTAAACGTATGTGATGTTTAAATACAGAAGTTCTACCCATATATTTGTTTATATTTTATACTTTTATATTCAATGGTGATAACAAAAAATCCTTGGGAAATAAACTGTGTTGTGTGACCAACTTTCATTTTCGTCATAATAATATCTGTTTGTGTATCATGAGGTGTAAATTGCCGAAATTTTTTGTTATTGTTGAATTTTACCTCTTGACTGCTATTAATAACCAAATAGTTGTTGGATGGTGTGGTTACCTGAGACATGGATGAAATGTACTGGCGTAGAAATTGTCAAGTCGTATTGTAGGGTTTAATCGCGGATTGATGTCAGTTCTGGAACCATTGTAAAAGCCATCAGGGAGTAGTAGATAGCCGTTCCGTCCTACGCACTTACGATCCCACTGCGAGTTGAACCCAAGTCATTCTGGCTTCCTGAAGTTCTAGTGAGAAGTCGTGATAGGTGAGTGAGTTCACCAGGTTGGATGGCGTCTGTAGTGCTCAAATCGAGAATCGGCAGAAGTAACAATTGATGGTCCGTTTGGTTTCGGCCAAAGTGACTGAATGGTCAATCAGCTTGGCGTGGTAACTTGGAGGCTCTGGGTTTGATTCTTTGTGGATAGGATCATGGGTGCGTACTGCCGAAGAGTTGGAACCTGGACAAGACGGCTGGCCAAGACTCTCTGGTTTTCAATGGTTCTTTAACTGTCATCAATCCATGAGCAATTTGAAACTAATTACATCTATACACGCTAACTCATGTACTCTAAGTTCTTTTCATTTTAACAGAAATTCATCTTATCATAGTGTGTATTTCATGTTTCCAGTTGTGTTGTTACTGTCTCACGCTTATTTCACAACTATCCTGTTTCGTCTTGGTTATGTACAGTTGATGTATGTGTGTGTTTGTGTGTATAAGACACGATGACTGACTTAACGTTTGAAAAGAGTGATGAATTAATCATGTTGGGTTATGAGTGTCATTGGAGGCGGGAAGAAGATTTTGGATATTAGCTAACCACGGGACTTTCACTGATAAACTCACTCAGAGAAAATCTTTGTTAAGCTTACTGCTCCATGTGAGTCATTCAGGCGAGGTATTTTATTTATCAAATACGATATCAAGTGCAATGGGTCGATCAGAGTGAATTAACGATTTCTGTAATATAGAAATATGTTGAAAGGTGAACTTCAGGTAATTTTAAGAAACAAATAGGCATTGATATTCATGCATCACAACACAGCCTACCCTTGAATAGGATAGTTCAGAGGAATAGCCTTAAGACGTAATTTAGCTATGTGAAGGTTGATTGTAATTGATAACCAGAGGTCCAGTTATATCAAATGTGAGAACCTCTATGCCAACTTAGGTGAATGTTCTCTTGGTTTTCACATGCGCGAATATGGGTTGTAGGTTGTAAGACAAGACAGAAAATGTCTTTAAAATAGGACTGTCTAGGGGACCTGGGATTATATTATGACAAATTTAATTGCACTGACAGGATGAGATATGCTATGAAGTTGCATGCAACTGCTAACTAAGAGAATGAATAAGGAAAGAAGTAACCTGAAACAATTGGAAATATCACTGTCCAGTCATAATTTTGGCGTGTACTACTGACAAGAATTATCAGTAGTATGTACAGATAAGTTCATCGGCATAAAAACATCAGAGAGCGGGAATATGGATTTCACGTCGAAGAGAGGAAATGATGAACCAGTACTGTCGTGAAACATGGAGGCCATCAAAGGAATGCGAGGGAACACAATACGAAGGGCAGCAGCAGAACACGGAAGATCTGAGCAAATGACGATTTTCATAAAAAGTGTATATAATTCCTTTATATAAAGAAATGTCGAACTCTAAGTGAACATTCCGTCTCTAATTCTCTTGTCTCCTTCGGCTACAATATGATCCCTCTACAGAATTT